GGAGGAGGAGGAGGAGGAGGAGGAGGGAGGAGGGAGGGAGGAGGAGGAGCGAGGGGAGGCGAGGGGAGGGAGGGGCAGAATGAAATGAAGAGAAACAAGGGCACTGAGAGAGCGCGCGGGAAAATATGCTGAGGATTGAGGAGGAGAAGGGATAGATGAGGAGAAACAAGGAGAGGAGAGGGAGAGCAAGAAGGAGAGAAGAACAGCGGGAAGATTTCGAGGGAGGAGGAAGGAGTTTGTAGAAGAATGAAGGGAAGGGAGTAATCTCGCTGCTTCTAGTTGCTAGAGGAGGAGAAGGCGAAGAACGGACTGCTGCAGCATCAGGTGAGGCTCACTCCCCCTTGTGGGAGAGACGTGAAGCTGACAAACTAGCAGCTTCTGCGACGGGGAAGAGATTATCCAGTGAGACAGGAAGAGAGTGAGCAGTCAGAAGTGCAGGAGTCATGGATTACACAATGACTTGAAGTTTATTCTCTTACTCTTATAGCCTCTTTTTTCTTCTCCTCCTCCTCTCCTCCTCTTCCATTCTTTTATCTTCTCTCCTCCTCCTCGCACCCTCAAGGATGAGCTGCCGGTCAGACGTGAGCCAGGTGCTCTCTCACCATCTTCTCGAAGTCACTCAACGTCAGCACCCCGTTGCTCCCGAACTGAGAGATGAGCGCCTGCTGACCATTTAGCTTCCCCTCTCCCTCCTCCTTCTCCTTCTGCCCCTCCTCCTCTTCCTCCCTTCTCTACTCCTCACCCTCTTCCTTCGCCTCTTCCTCTTTCCCATTCACTCCCTTTCCTCTCTCTTCCGCCTCCTCCCTCCCCACATGCCTCCTACCCGCTGACTCCACCTTCTTCGTGTTCTACCTCCTTGTCTTTTCCCACATAGATTTCTCCTCCTCTCATTCTCGTCCCTCACTCCCTCACCGCACCTTGGATTCTTCTTCCGACATGTTCTGCCCGAGGCTCTTGAGCGCGAGCTTGAATTCAGCAGGCTGGAGCAGACCGTCGCTGAGAGAAGGTGAGGAAAGGAACGTGGAGGAGGAGCAGGGAGAACCCAGAAGAGTCGAACGAGGAGAAGGCAAGAGCTATTCTTTCTTTGAGCTGCAGCAGGTCAGAGGAGGAAGAGTGGTAGCAGGAGCACCTTCTTCTCAGGCATGCCTCGAAACTGATCGGCGAGAAGGCTTGACGTCTGAGCGATCACTAACGAGAGCAAGTGAGGCAGAGAAGCCAAGGGGGAGGAGCAGGAGGGGAGCAAGGGAAGAGCATGTACCGTCTTTGGTCATGCTGATAGTCGTTTTCAAATCTTGTCTCATGCTCTGAAGTTTGAACATGACCAGATCGGGGCTGAATCCTCGCTCAGAGAGGAATAGATACACACAAGCAGACAGAGAAGGCAGAGGGATGAACGAGAGGGTAGGAAGGGGTAGAGGAGGAGGACAAGGAGGACAAGGAGGACAAGGAGGACAAGGAGGACAAGGAGGACAAGGAGGACAAGGAGGACAAGGAGGAGCAGCAGCAGCAGCACCTGCTCAGAGAGTCCTGGGAGACCTCCTTGATCTCTCCCTCGGAGAGTTGCATCACACTTCTGAACTCTTCGAAGTCGATGCTGCCATGGCGATTGATATCGAGCTTGTGGAAGACAGAGAAGAGCTGGTCCTCGTTCACGTAGCAGCCCAGAGACTTGAGAGCATCGCGCAGCTCGTTGATGTCTAGAGCCCCGTTGTGATCGAGGTCGACGTGATCGAAAAGCTCCTTCAGCTCCTTGATCCGCTGCTTCTGCTTTCATAGATCACCCCGCTCGACAATCTTTCCCTCTTGTCTCCCGCTTCATCTCTCTCATCCCTTCTCTCCATCTCCTTCTCTCCTCCACCAGCTCCACCTGTTGCAGCTCAGACGTCTGTGTCTGCTTCATCTCCTCTGCTATGCCATGCATGATCATCACATTCCTGTAAGTGAAACAGTCTCACAGGAGGGAGCAAGCAGCGCAGGTCAGCTGACCTGTACTGGCCAGGAAGGGATTCGAGGATACGGCGAGAGCGCGGGGAGATGGCTCGAACTCTCATCTTGTCTGCCGTCCAGACGTGAGACGAGTCACTTCCTCCCTCCCTCACCGACGACAGTCAGGAACTTTGTGCTCATGCTCTCCTCTTTCTGTGTCCTCGTCAGTTTCACGTCAACCAGGAGGAGCAGACGCGCTCGCCTCGTCGGGATCAGATGTGAACGTCTCCATGGGGAGAGCAGGAGACGCCTCAGCCTCTGATGGCTTCTCTTCAGCCTGAACGGGCGGCTTGGCAAGAACAGGGGCTATAGAGCCTTCAGGTCTGCAAGAACCCGATCCCTTCACCTCTCGGCTTCTCTCCTCCGTTGACGCTTTGAATCTTCTTGGACAGGAAAGCTTTCGCCTGCTTCCGCATCAGGAGCCTGCAACTCTCTCTTGTGAATCACATTGTTGAGACAGCGGGACGTCGGGCTCAATTCATCAGTTTGCGACGCTTCTTTCAGGATACTCTGAAGTTTTTCCTGCACCGAGGTCCTTCGAACTGCGACGAGCTGTCAGACCGACTGCATGCCCTTCCCTGAGATCAGGAGATCGCATGCCTGCATGCCCAACAATCAAGTGTTCGAAGTCTTGCAACGTCATTCGCTTGGAGCTTGTCCCTTGCAAACAAAGGTCCTGCTTCCCCCTCAGTCGCTCAACACGGAGCAGCACAAGAACTGACGCGAACCTTGATGTGAAGGTCAGCGAACTTGGTCCTGAGTTGCTTCGTTGCTTGTTCGATCTCGCTCTCTTCCAGCACTCCGTCGCTTCATTGGAGTATCACATCAAATGGTCTTCAACTTGTACTCACCCGTTGACGTCCAAACTGTTGAATATCTCTTTGACAAGAACCTTCACCTGCTCACGCTCAGCGAATCTTAGTCATATCTAAACAGTTTCACCTGAGACCGTTCTTTCGTCTCAATGACAAATCGCTCGAAGTTGGAAAGATGAATTCCTTTTTCTTCATGATGAACCTTGCAGAATTCCTGTCATGATTCCTCTCAGCGGGTAGGAAGAAGCGGTTCTCGACATTCCATACCAGAACTTCATCGTCGGTGACTTCGTGTCCTCTGCTTTTCATACAAACTTTGACCTCTCGCAGATCCAGAACTCCATCGCTGATGCAGGTTTCAGTCGGCAACATGTGAGAGCCGCACTCACCCATCAACGTCATGCTCGCGGAACAATGTCGCAATGTCCTGAGATCGCCGCGTGAGGATGGCAAGAGATGGTCAGCAGTGCCAACACCTCAAGCTCCGTTGGCAGGCTGCCGACATCATATCCAAGCGACTGCGCTCGGGTGATAAGCGAAGACAACCTTGAACCCTGAGGCTGAGGTGAATCGTGGGAAACATGCCATGCTAGGGTTCACTCACACTCTCTTCTCCACTATGTAGGGTGGCCTGACTCAATAATCCGAGCGCAGTCTTGAGTGACTCTGCTGAAGATGCTCGTTCGATCGCCCAGGATTTTTGAGGCATTGGTGTTGTAGCTTTAGCGCAATTTTTGGATTCGTTTCTCTCCTCTGAGTCTCTTCTCTCTTCTCTCTTCTCTCTTCTCTCTCCTACTTCTCTCTTCTCTCTTCTCTCTCCTCTCTTCTCTCTTCTCTCTCCTCTCTCCTACTTGTTCAGTCTCTTTTCTTGTAGGGGCTCAACGCTTTGCCGGGACCATTCAGGGTAGTGTGGAAATGGGGAGACAGAAGTGGGGTGGGGTGAAAAAGGAGGGGATTCAGGAAGGGTAAAAGAAGGGGTACTTTGATACCTGTCGAGTGGAAGTATCCCCTACACCATGGGGTAGGGGGTGAGGGGGGGTAAGGCAATCGAAACCAAGGGGTCACTGCTAATCTAAAACTTGTCTAGTACAAATAATTAAAATGTATGAGATGGTACAATATGGAGGGGCCCTGCGGTACAGTATATCTAATCGATCAGTATTTCTATAATTTTATATCAAAATATGTATAGTATTATTAAAACAAATACTACTGCACAAAGATTTTCTCCTACACTATGGAACTCTTCTTTAGTACCGGCCTCAGATTCCTGCTAGGACCGTGGGTGGACCTCCAGGGGGCTATCGGTTAGGATAGACTTGTAAAGTAAAAGTAAAGACGGTCGACTCGGCGGCAGTCACGCGGCCGTCGAGACCGTCGGGCCGATCGGATCCCGACCGTCAAAATAGACTTGTACTAAACCAAAGTCACGCAGATATCACATTGACCTTAGTTGTAACAAGACAGTTTTTGCTCAAGACCGAATTGTCTTGTTACAAGGCTTGTCTGGTGCGAGGCGCATGACGCCCTTGCGGGCGGCGCGGACTCCCCTTTCTCCGTCCGCGGCCACCCGCTTTGTGGCGGCAGCGGACGTCTCGACTGACAGTGGTCAGTCGGCTGCCTCCGGGTATCGCGTCTAAGGGATTGTATTCCTCCTGCGTGCTTGCTTGACCCTTCGGCTGCTTGTCTGCGCGGCTTCGCGCTTGGGCTGGCGGTGCCGCGTCTGGGTGCCAGCAGTGCTGACGGTTGTTTTCGGGCTTGTGTTTTGTGTGTGATTGTGCAGCTTCTCGCTGTGCGCTGTGTGCCTGGAGGTTCAGCTTGTTCCTGCTTTGTTTTGCTTGAGGCACTTTTTACCTTCTGCCAGTAAATCCGTATCTGACACCCTCCGCTTCATCTGGTATCTGGCGGACATCATTGCTCAGCGCTCGATGCCTCTTGAGGATGCGGCGTTTGGACGGCACTTCGTGCCTGATGACGGGCCTGCCGCTGCTGAGGTCTCCGGAGGTCCCCGATGGGGAAACACTTCGACTGACAGTGGTCAGTCGGCTGCCTCCGGGTATCGCGTCTAAGGGATGTTATTCCTCCTGCATGCTCCTGCTGCTTGTTGCTTGATTGCTTGACCCTTAGGCTGCTTGTCTGCGCGGCTTCGCGCTTGGGCTGGCGGTGCCGCGTCTGGGTGCCAGCAGTGCTGGTTGTTTTCGGGCTTGTGTTTTGTGTGTGATTGTGCAGCTTCTCGCTGTGCGCTGTGTGCCTGCCGGTTCAGCTTGTTCCTGCTTTGTTTTGCTTGAGGCACTTTTTACCTTCTGCCAGTAAATCCTGTTCGTTCCTCGAGCGGTACCGTGTTCCTGTGTCCAGCCTCCCTCCGTCCGCTGCCCCTGGCGGACCCCCGGGCAGCGCCGGCTCCTTGTCGGCGGCTGCCCTTTCTCCGTCCGCGGCCGCCCGCTTTGTGGCGGCAGCGGACGTCTCGACTGACAGTGGTCAGTCGGCTGCCTCCGGGTATCGCGTCTAAGGGATGTTATTCCTCCTGCATGCTCCTGCTGCTTGTTGCTTGATTGCTTGACCCTTAGGCTGCTTGTCTGCGCGGCTTCGCGCTTGGGCTGGCGGTGCCGCGTCTGGGTGCCAGCAGTGCTGGTTGTTTTCAGCCGCGCCCATGTTGCAGCGTCTGAGAAGATTCGCAAACATCGCGCTTCATATGCTATGCCTACTCCCCCTCGAGCGTTCATCCCTCTTGCCATCTCGACGGTCGACGGTACCCTGCATCCTGACACCCTCCGCTTCGTCTAGTATTTGGCGGACATCATTGCTCAGCGCTCGATGCCTCTTGAGGATGCGGCGTTTGGTCGGCACTTCGTGCCTGATGACGGACCTGCTAGCTGAGGTCTTGGCTCGCAAACGCGCCGCCACCTATCAGCGCCTCACTATGCAGCTGACGCTGGAGGCGCTCTTGTCTGGTGCGAGGCGCATGACGCCCTTGCGGGCGCAAGCACTTCTGCCAGTAAATCCTATGCACTTCTCGAGCCAGAGGACAGCTCCTCCTCGGACTTTGTCGAGTCGCCCGAGGGGGAGTCTTCGCCGGAGGTCTCCGACTCCGATGGGGGAAACACGTCGAGTGGCGCCGACGATCGGCGCGGAGCCGGCCAAGCGTCTCCGTCCCTCACTGTGCCACTCTCCGATGCGAGTCTCGAGCTACTACCCCCTCAAGGCCTTCCCGCACCGCTATGCTCAGATGCTCGACTGCTATCTCCATGGCATGCCGATCTGCCAGTGTCCGACAAAATGTGATGGATGTCAGCGCGAGCTCGATCCCTCCGTTGCTGCACATCATCTCCAGACCTGCAAACGCCGATCCTCCAAGCTTCCCACGGCGCATGACAACCTTACTCGTACGATTCGGTCGATGCTGAACGAAGCTGGTCTTCAGAGCGTCATCGATACAGTCGGGGATCCTCGTTCTCGACGGCAGGTACCCTTTTTCCCTTCTGCCAGTAAATCCTATATCCACTCCCATCCTCATGGCCGCAAGATGAAGGGCGATATCCACATTCCTGGAATCCGCGATCGAGGGTCCGAGCAGTACGAGGGCTTGATGGCGGACGTGACGTTGGTCCACCCTTACATTGGTAGCTCTGCCGACCTGACCAAGTGGGGGGAGGTCAACCTCGACGCCCTCCATGTTGCAGCGTCTGAGAAGATTCGCAAACATCGCGCTGCATATGCTATGACTACCAATATAGGATTTACTGGCAGAAGGTAAAAAGTGCCTCAAGCAAAACAAAGCAGGACTACTCCTCCTCGAGCGTTCATCCCTCTTGCCATCTCGACGGACGGTACCCTGCATCCTGACACCCTCCGCTTCATCTGGTATCTCGCGGACATCATTGCTCAGCGCTCGATGCCTCTTGAGGATGCGGCGTTTGGTCGGCACTTCGTGCCTGATGACGGACCTGCTGCTGAGGTCTTGGCTCGCAAACGCGCCGCCACCCATCAGCGCCTCACCATGCAGCTGACGCTGGAAGCGCTCTTGTCTGGTGCGAGGCGCATGACGCCCTTGCGGGCGCAAGCACTTCTCGAGCCAGAGGACAGCTCATCCTCGGACTTTGTCGAGTCGCCCGAGGAGTCTTCGCCGGAGGTCTCCGACTCCGATGGGGGAAACCCTTCGAGTGGCCCCGACGATCGGCGCGGAGCTGGCGAGGCGTCTCCGTCCCTCACTGTGACGTCGGGTGCCTCCGGAGAGCTCGACACCAATGCTGCTGGTCCGAGCTCGCCTGCTTCCTCCCCGGCATCGGTCGGGTCACGCCGGTCCTTGGGCATTGCCGCGGCGTCGCCGCCGTCACGGGCGGCTACCACTGACTCGGCTACCGCTGACTCGGAGGCTAGCGAGGAGGACTACCTCGAGCGGTACCGTGTTCCTGTGTCCAGCCTCCCTCCGTTCGCTGCCCCTGGCGGACCCCCGGGCAGCGCCGGCTCCTTGTCGGCGGCTGCCCTTTCTCCGTCCGCGGCCGCCCGCTTTGTGGCGGCAGCGGATATATATATATATAGGATTTACTGGCAGAAGGTAAAAAGTGCCTCAAGCAAAACAAAGCAGGAACAAGCTGAACCGGCAGGCACACAGTCCACAGCGAGAAGCTGCGGACGTCTCGACTGACAGTGGTCAGTCGGCTGCCTCCGGGTATCGCGTCTAAGGGATGTTATTCCTCCTGCATGCTCCTGCTGCTTGTTGCTTGATTGCTTGACCCTTAGGCTGCTTGTCTGCGCGGCTTCGCGCTTGGGCTGGCGGTGCCGCGTCTGGGTGCCAGCAGTGCTGGTTGTTTTCAGCCGCGCCCATGTTGCAGCGTCTGAGAAGATTCGCAAACATCGCGCTTCATATGCTATGCCTACTCCCCCTCGAGCGTTCATCCCTCTTGCCATCTCGACGGTCGACGGTACCCTGCATCCTCGAGCTCTCCGGAGGCACCCGACGTCACAGTGAGGGACGGAGACGCCTCGCCAGCTCCGCGCCGATCGTCGGGGCCACTCGAAGTGTGTCCCCCATCGGAGTCGGAGACCTCCGGCGAAGACTCCTCGGGCGACTCGACAAAGTCCGAGGATGAGCTGTCCTCTGGCTCGAGAAGTGCTTGCGCCCGCAAGGGCGTCATGCGCCTCGCACCAGACAAGAGCGCTTCCAGCGTCAGCTGCATGGTGAGGCGCTGATGGGTGGCGGCGCGTTTGCGAGCCAAGACCTCAGCAGCAGGTCCGTCATCAGGCACGAAGTGCCGACCAAACGCCGCATCCTCAGAGGCATCGAGCGCTGAGCAATGATGTCCGCGAGATACCAGATGAAGCGGAGGGTGTCAGGATGCAGGGTACCGTCCGTCGAGATGGCAAGAGGGAATGAACGCTCGAGGGGAGTAGTCATGGCAATGCAGCGCGATGTTTGCGAATCTTCTCAGACGCTGCAACATGGAGGGCGTCGAGGTTGACCTCCCCCCACTTGGTCAGGTACAGGTCGGCAGAGCTACCAATGTAAGGGTGGACCAACGTCACGTCCGCCATCAAGCCCTCGTACTGCTCGGACCCTCGATCGCGGATTCCAGGAATGTGGATATCGCCCTTCATCTTGCGGCCATGAGGATGGGAGGGTACCTGCCGTCGAGAACGAGGATCCCCCACTGTATCGATGACGCTCTGAAGACCAGCTTCGTTCAGCATCGACCGAATCGTACGAGTAAGGTTGTCATGCGCCGTGGGAAGCTTGGAGGATCGGCGTTTGCAGGTCTGGAGATGATGTGCAGCAACGGAGGGATCGAGCTCGCGCTGACATCCATCACATTTTGTCGGACACTGGCAGATCGGCATGCCATGGAGATAGCAGTCGAGCATCTGAGCATAGCGGTGCGGGAAGGCCTTGAGGGGGTAGTAGCTCGAGACTCGCATCGGAGAGTGGCTCAGGTCTCGCTCAGGAAAATGAGCGAAGACGGTAGACTGCAAGACCCTAAGGTAAAAAGTGCCTCAAGCACGCGATACCCGGAGGCAGCCGACTGACCACTGTCAGTCGAGACGTCCGCTGCTGCCACAAAGCGGGCGGCCGCGGACGGAGAAAGGGCACATGCCGTTCACTTTCAGGCCTTTCGTTAATTTGGCACTTAAATTTTTCGGCAGGGTCTTTTTTTTCCTAGGCGTGCTATTTTGATAAACGAGTTAGAGACCCCACTTCATAGTACCCATTTGTTTTAGTTTATTTCAACAATCCTCTTTACAAGTTATTTTAACGGTAGCCTAAGTTACAGTACGGTACCGACACATACCCTATGGTACTACTTTCAGTACCAGTTGCAATCCTCCTTGCCTTGACGGACAATGGCGGCGCAATCAGGGCGGCCACCGTCGTCAAGGGCTGCCTCATCGCTCGGCATTGCCAAAAGGAGGAGATTGGAGCAAGAGAACAAGTTGATCCTCTTCATTCGCATGAGATACATCCAAGAGGCACCGTTGTTCCTTGCAGCAAATGCCTTCGATCATTCTGTGCACTTTGAATTACTACACCACGTTGAAGGTTTAGACATGTCATTCAATCTGGTACCATGTCATGGTGTGAGGTTTACTGATGTCAATGGGAAATTTCGAAGTGGAATCATCCGAAATTGGAAAGGAAGAATGTCAACTTCTTTAAAACCAGAAAACAAACTGATTTCTTCCGTCTCAACATCGATCTGCACAAGATTAAGACTACGGTAGTATAATTAACTGGTTTCGCAAACGTGGGAAGCCCTTCTTGAAACCCTGGATGAAAAGGCCAGTGCAGTTGGACCATCAGTACATCACTCTTACAGAATCTCGTCATTAACAGAGAATTTCCTGTGCCTTTCAAGGATGAACCCTACATGATAGAACCTGGATCAGGTTCGTTATATTTCGAGGGCGCACTGACAGTCACCTTGAAACGAAATTAGAGGACGCAATACACATGCATCTCTTTCAAGTTCGAAAGAATGGTACGATTGTGCACGTTTCACACAGAGATTTGGAGGCATCCAGATTGAACGCGACTTTACTCAGACATTAATTTACTTTGAAGGACTGCCACAACAAAGTGAAGTGTGCTCGAACCGAATTGTTGAATTTCTTCTTGTCATCTGCATTGCGTGAAGGTCCATCAGTGACTATCGCATGGACAGTGCATATCCCACACATGGTCAAGTTGCCCGTTAGATGCAGTAGCAGTTTTCTTCTTCTCCGAGTCCAATGTAGCTGTTCCCGATCATGGCAGCAGCTCGATATGCATCTCTTCCCTGAAGTTGATGTCGGTGCTCGATGCACGACATGTTCAATAGTCAGGCTAGTTGAATGCCATATTTCTCGTAGAAATGTACAAACTGATCGCCCACATGCCCTGACATCATGCTGTGCAAATAGAAAGACTGCAGCAGTCTCGCTTGTCCGATTGATCTGACTAACTTGAAAGCAACACCCCTAATTTTGAAAGGAAGTGCTTTGACGTCTTCCTTCTCTTCAATTTCGAAATAGCTTCCTCCCAAAGAAGCTGTTTGTCTCTGTCAGGCACCAGCAGTTGAATGATCGAGGCAGGACCGTCTTTCGCCGCCTGCTGCGGGAGCAGCCGTCCCGTCTCCTGCAGGCCCTCCCGGTATCTGCAGGCATCGATGACAACAAGGAAACAGACTGAGAGTCACAGTGTAGTCCTCTACCTCCTCCTCGGTCTCCATCGTCCCTACCTCACAGGGGATCAGGTCGTCTTCTTTGGCCCTTCCTGCCTTCATCCCATGGCCAGCGTAGAAGAGGACGACTAGCCTCCTCAGCTCTTGGTGCCAGCCTAGTCGCATCCCTGATAGCGTTCTCCAGCTCCCACCCCGGCTGCACGTACTTGTCGGACGGTCCGCTCTAGTATGCAGAGGCCGAACACCCGGGGCGGCTCCAGGAACAGAATCTCCTGATGGAGAGGAGACTGCCAGGAAGCCCGTTCCTCTAGCGCACAGTGACGGGATGCTGTTGAGGAAGAAACGTCATGCGACATAAATGACTGGTGGAGGCGCATAACAGTGAGTATTCATAACAGTGAGCATTGAGGGATTTCTCTGTGGATTCATATATCCTCTCAGTGTGAGGAGATAAAAAGGGGGTAGGGTGGTGGAGGGGGGAACTTCTGTACCATGAAACCTCTCTTTTGTACCAATATGTTTTCATACAGTACAATCTATACTACCATGTATTTGATGGGTAAAACTAAAATTGCAGTACCTCTAAAACCAAGGCGGGGGAAGGGTTCCACGCCAGAGGAATTCAAATCACCCCACCCCGCTTATGTCCAGTCTCTCTACCCCCCCTTTGATCGGTGAAAACAGGGGGTAGTCAACAGAGAGTGTATATACGGAACCCATGTGAACCCCAAAAAAAGTAGAAAAAAAAAGACCAGATTTGCTAGGGGCTGCATATGGGTTTGTGAACGGCATGGCCGCCGACAAGGAGCCGGCGTTGCCCGGGGGTCCGCCTGGGGCAGCGGACGGAGGGAGGCTGGACACAGGAACACGGTACCGCTAGAGTGATCTCTCGTCGACTCGTCACATGAGCACTTCATTCCTCCGCCACGCGCGATGCCGCGCAGACAAGCTGCGAGGGTCAAGCAACAGTCTGTCAGAGGAGGGGTAACTAGCAGCAGGAGGGGACGTCCAAAATGAAACCCCCTTAGACGCGACTGGCACTGTCAGTCGACGAGACGTCCGCCGCCGCCGCAAAGCTGGCGGTCGCAGACGAAGAAAGGGCAGCCGCCGACAAGGAGCCGGCGCTAGAGACGAGTCGACGAGAGCGCGCAAACCAAGTATGTGTACTAGGAGAAGTTTTACTCGCATAAGGTAAAAAGTGCCTCAAGCAAAACAAAGCAGGAACAAGCTAAACCTCCTGGCACACAGCGCACAGCGAGAAGCTGCACAATCACACACAAAACACAAGCCCGAAAACAACCAGCACTGCTGTTAACCGTCAGCAGCCTCGGACCCGGCATCGGCGGGCCAGCCCAAGCGCGAAGCCGCGCAGACAAGCAGCCTAAGGGTCAAGCAATCAAGCAACAGCATGCAGGAGGAATACAATCCCTTAGACGCGATACCCGGAGGCAGCCGACTGACCACTGTCAGTCGAGACGTCCGCTGCCGCCACCGTTCAAGCGGCTGGCGGCCGTGGACGGAGAAAAGGCAGCCGCCGACAAGGAGCCGGCGTTGCCCGGGGGTCCGCCTGGCACTCAGGCTGGCAGTGGGGCAGCGCCGGGACGGAGGGAGGCTGGACACAGGAGCACGGTACCGCTCGAGGTAGTCCTCCTCGCTAGCCTCCGAGTAGAGTTGTCCAACCTCGGAGCCAGACGGCCCGGCCCCTCAGTCTCCAACAACCTCGAGGTAGGGCCAAGCAACAGGCGCTACCGGGAGGGGTACGGACGTCCAGTGGCGTCGCTGAGCGTTTACGTGACGGAATACAAGTTTGTTAGACTTGTACTAGTCCAAAGTCACGCAGATATCACATCGACCTTACTAAGGTTGTAACAAGACAGTTTTTGCTCAAGACCGAGTTTAATGCACACAAAAACCAGAATTGAGGAGCACATGAGAGATAGACTGTATGCTAGGATGTGAAACCCAAGCATCCAGACATGAGAGGACCTTAGCAAGACGGCTAGGAAAGCCCCCTCTTCGTCCCACACGCTACATTGGCCGCCTCGAAACACGTAAGTTGTCTGGGTTTACAGGACTCCGGGAGAGTTTTCGTACGGTAACTCGGCGCTACTATCATGCTGACTGGCACGGCTGGCATACGCTCCATCACTTCCAGTTTCAAGTTTTACTCGCAAAACCCCGAGGGGTAAAAACTGAAGTGCCTCCGAAGTGCTGCTGAGCCGAAGAAAGCGGCGGAGTCTGACATGGCCCGTGGTGTAGTGCACTGAGCAGCCGCCCGGCTGCCAGAGGGCCTCCTCGGCGGAGGGGCCCGGGCTCGTCGACGAACTTCGGAAGCTCAGCCGGTGACGGTGTCACTGTTGGCCCGGCCCGGCGGGCCGCCGCCGGGCACTGCCGCCGCGCCGGGCCCGGCTCAGTGCCGCGGCTCACTGACGGTCAGGCCGCCGGGCGGCTGCCGGCCGGCCGCTGAGTGGCTGGCCGGGCGGCACAAAGGGTGTGTGCGGGGACGAGGACACAGTATCGGAGCGTCGGGATGGCGAGTTGGGAGGAAACTCCGTTGCTATCACAAGCCGAAGAATGGGAGAGAGGAGAGAGGAGAGAGAAGAGAGCGAAAGAAGAGATACCAGATAGAGGAGGATCAAAAGAACGTGTGGGATTCAGAGTCTACCTTGTCTGTTCTTGGGTTCTTTTCCTTGAAGGCATGGGTGGTTTATCCAGTCTTGCTCTCAGTTACTTCTACAAGTCGACCCTCAAGGCTGATCCTGCTCTGCTCTCCTCCATCTCTTCAATCTCTGCTCTTCCATGGACCTGCAAGCCTATCTACGGCTTCTTGTCTGATGCCTACCCATTGCTTGGCTTTCGTCGTCGCCCCTACCTCGCCCTTGGAGGAGCTGCTGCTGCATTAAGTTGGATTTACATGGCGACATACGTTAATGATCCATGGACGGGAGGTGTCTGCATGACGTTCGGGTCCGCTGGAATGGCAGTTGCCAACGTCATGGCAGAGGCGATCCTGGTAGAGAGGTCACAGGTGACCAGTACTGCTTTGCCGAGGCAAGCTCATGCTGTGTGCGACAGGGGGAGACGCAAGAGTTCGCATCGCACCTCCAGGTATCCTCTCCCGAGCGCATCGTTTCCCTTGAGATGTTGGCGGCAGTCAGTTGTGTGGGGAGCCGCTTCTGTCGGTTCCTTGATCTCTTCCTTCCTTGGCGGGTACGCAGCTCCCTCGTTGCGGTCCACGCCTGACCCGCCTGCTCAGCTACCTGCTGGAAATCATGTCAGACCGGCAGGTGACGTCATCATGCCCGAACCCATCGACGTGACGACGTTCAAGCGCAGGTCTTCCTCCTCTCCGCCGTCTTCCCCCTCACCCTCGTGCCATTGTCGCTGCTGTCACCCGAGAAACGGGTGACTTTGAGTGCTTGCGAGCTGCTGTGTTCGCTGAGAGCGATGGCCTGTCAGAGGGAGTCAGACAAGCTGGATCCCTCAGACCTGAGCAACAAGGTTAGGGCCTTGTACCTCACGCTGATGATGCCGGAGATCCTTTATCCTACTCTCTTCATTTTCATGCTCAACGCGACGCCGTCGACAGGAAGGTGCGAGACAGGATGCCTGCCAGCACGCAATCGCAGAGGCTGACGTGCTGGACTCAGCGCGTGGTTTTACTTCTACAGTTCGAAGCCTCCTCTCGGTAAGTCTGCGACGTGCGGGACGTGAGGTGAGTAGGAGCAGGTGTAGGGTTCTCCGCTGAGTTTCTCGGGACCATCAACGTCGTGGGGTCGATCTTCAACCTAGCGGGAGTGATCCTCTTTCAGGTCCTCCGCATCAAGCTTGCTTCGTCCTAACTCATGCTGCAAGTCCTTCCTAAGGACTCTGCCTTTCCGTCCGCTGCTCCTGTAAGTGACTCGGGTGCTTCGGTCACAGTGAGAGCGATACAGCTGGGGTACCATCGTGTCCTCCGTCCTCGGGTTATCCAACTTGGTCCTCGTCTTCCACGTCAACCGACAGGTCCGCTTGCTCTTCGCGTCCTCCTCCTCACGTGTCTCAGTGGAACATCCCCGACGAGTGGTTCTGTCTCGGAGAGGGTGCGGTGCAGGCGGTGGTTGGGTGGATCTCTACCATGCCCATCATCGTCCTCGCGAGTCGACTCTGCCCGGAAGGCATGGAGGCGACCATGTACGCGCTCATCATGTCCATCAACAACCTGGTGAGTTCTCGGCCCTTCGCCTGCCACACACTCACGCAGGTTCTCTCAGGGGGGAGTGCTGGGGTCTCAGTTGGGCGCTCTCATCACCATGTGAGAGGAGGGGGAGGGAGGAGGCGAGCAGTTGAAAGAGAGTGCAGGTGGCTCGGCGTCTCTTCTTCCAACCTAGATCACTTCTGGTTGCTTGTCACCATATGCAATGTGAGCTCGGTAAGCTGCTGCTGCCGCCGCCGCCGCTGCCGCTGACGCGATGCTAGCTGGTGCCGCTGGTCTTCATAAACTGGATTCCAGCAGGGGATCCACAGCTGGTGAGAAATCGAGGGATGGAGAGCTTGACATGAAAAGGTTTGGGTTACTCGAGCAGCCGTTCCTCCGCCTCCTCCCCTTCTGTCAGTCTCGCCCACTCCTTGTGCCAAGCAGACTCAGTCAAGAGCAGGAGAAAGCTCTCCTCCTGCTCTCGAGTATGCTGAGACCACATGAGGCCTCCTCCGCACGGGAAATGAGCTGCAGTCACGCGGCCTCCTTCCGCTTCTGCGTCACGACGGTCACGAGAGCTTGGACGCAACCTCGCAGGACCTCGAGCCGCTTTGACCTCACGAACGCGCATGGAAGGCGGCCAGCCGATAGACTTGAGCACCTCATCTGCTGAGGCTGCCGGGGCGAGAGGAGCTGACTCAAGTCAAAATTCCTGATAGCCCGTTGACTACCCACCTCGAAACATTCCAGGGGTCGCGGGAACTTCCAGCCAGCTCCTCACGTCCCAGAGCTTCTGAAGCATCCAGCCTCCGTCTCCTCGGTATCTCCCGCAGCCCTCGAAGGCGCTCACCTGCTCTCCCTCAGTGCTCGAAGCTCTTCACCACATCTCACCCGGGCGCCCACAGGAGGCGTTGGAAGCTGCTCGACAAGCTGCTCGACGCGGAAGACATGCTCGTCCCTCACCTACTTGAGTGAGCTCCTCCCTTCCCCTCCCTCTCTGCATCACCCGCATGCCCCTCAACGCCTCCGCCAGCTTCAAGAGATACTCGGCGTTGGTGCCGCTCGGACCAACACTGGTGACGTCAGGGGATGAGGAGAAGAGAAGTGGCGGACCTCGAGGCGATGGTTTCAGCCACCTGCTCCTCACTGAGCGGGCCAAGAAACTGTCTGCTCGTCGTCAGGGAGGCTAAGGCATCTTGATCTCACTTGTTGTCTGTGGTCGCGATGTAGAGCAGGACGTTCGAGATGCTCGCACAGTCTTGCGCCTCCAGCTCAGCGCCACCTCTGTCTTTCGGAAGGAAGACATCCACGAGCAGTCGATCGTAGCCGTCCTTCTCCCTGCATGGTCTCAAACGACAGTCCCGTCAAGGGGTCGAGGACCTGTAGTCGAGGTATGCGAGGATCTTTTCCCTGTCCTCCTCCTCATAACCATAGCACATCCCCCAGCACCTGCCCCTCATGTCAAACAAGCTGCTGGGCGCATGCAGGCGTACAGCTCGTCCTCCCCTTCCTTGTTGCCCTCACTCTCCCGCAGCTTGGAAGTCTCGATGAGAGTCGCCACAAGTCCTGGTCGTTGAGGCACTCCCCGGTGATCCGTAGACCCCTGCCACAGCCGCCTTTTCCTGCCGAGCGACGTCTGGAGAGCAGCGAGAGGGATGACAGGGAGAGGAGAGGAGAAGGGAAGGATAGCGAGGGGGAGGAGGAGAGGAGCAGCAAGGAGAGGAGGGAGGAGGAGGGAATTCTCTAGCTTACCAGCCCTTGATTGCAGCAGGAAGTGAAGTACTCGCACGGAATCCCTCCGGAGGTTTCCAAACCAGCGAGCCGTAACCAAATACCCAGACCATGCCTGACGTGCTATTCACGACTCGCGATGTAGGACAGAGACTTCACCTTGTAGGTTAGGCTTCATGGTTGACTGAGTCGCTGCTGCTCAACAGACAGTCAGCACCCCCGACATCAAGACCCTGGTAGATCACCACAATATGAGAAACGCTAAAACATCTGTACCATCACACTTTAACAACCTTAGCTGTCTTTGCAAGACCTATCCTACCTTCAGACAGCTTCTTGTCTACCTTCAGACAGCTTCTTGTCTACCTTCAGACAGCTTCTTGTCTACCTTCAGACAGCTTCTTGTCTACCTTCAGACAGCTTCTTGTCTACCTTCAGACAGCTTCTTGTCTACCTTCAGACAGCTTCTTGTCTACCTTCAGACAGCTTCTTGTCTACCTTCAGACAGCTTCTTGTCTACATTCAGACAGCTTCTTGTCTACCTTCAGACAGCTTCTTGTCTACCTTCAGACAGCTTCTTGTCTACCTTCAGACAGCTTCTTGTCTACCTTCAGACAGCTTCTTGTCTACCTTCAGACAGCTTCTTGTCTACCTTCAGACAGCTTCTTGTCTACCTTCAGACAGCTTCTTGTCTACCTTCAGACAGCTTCTTGTCTACCTTCGTTTTGTTTCCTCCTTCCCTCGTCCTCATCGTCGCTTCCCTACCCTCATTGCCTCCTTTTGACGAAGAATCAAGTCCGCCTCAGGGCTAGACCAGGGGCATCAACAAATATTAGTCAAGCAATACGAAGTCTGCTCGAAATTTTGATTTCATGGCTCAGAGCATAATTTCATCTCACTCAGCTTCTTATTTTTCAAATTTGCTGTAGTATGTTGAAGTATCACAATCAATAAAATGCAGCGGGGATGTGGGGCACACCGCGGCACGTGAGGATGCAGGAGCTGCGGGTCGGCCGCATTTTCTCATGCGCAACCAAGTAAGCGAAGAGGATGAGAGAAGAGGATGAGAGAAGAAGATGAGAGAAGAAGATGAGAGAAGAAGATGAGAGAAGAAGATGAGAGAAGAAGATGTGAGTAGATGAGATGGGGAAAGAAAGGGTCGGGTGGTGGAGAGGGAGGATAAATGAAGCGAGTGAGGCTCTTGTTTCGTTTTCCCAGTTGATTTTTTCTGGCAGCGCCCAGCAGTGCATTGATGTCGTTTCTCGAAATGAGATGTACTTTGCTGTCTTGCCGCTTGTGCATCCACGAGCTCGCCGTGAGTTCAGCGGGAGGACGGAGAGGTCAGAGCCTTTCACGCGTTCAGACCTCACGTTGCCCTCCAACATCTGGAGCAGCAATGTCATCGGCTCGCTCTCGCCATGGCTCAACTTCGATTCTCCCTGCCACAAGGTTCGCATGGACTCTGAGCAGGCACTCAAGCAGGAGATGGCATGGGCGCATCACATCTCGTGCCCTGCCGTCATCGCCCCCCCCCCCGGTCGATCCTGCAACAACTATGCTCGCTGCCTCTACTCTCAGATCGCTGCCTCCGGAGGCACGAGCATCTATGTGCACATGCCGCTGACGTGGAAGGATGACCCGGACAGCGACAAGGATCCCTGGGAAACGTGGAACAGCGTGAGGATGCTGTGCGAGCATCATTTCTGCTTGTTCGTAGCGCTGGAAGTTACATCTGACCTCCCGACCGACGAGACTCTCACCCAGTGGCTCTGCGAGCCCGTCAAGCTGCTCATCCTACCCACGTCCATCTTCCTCACCAACACCTCTGGTTTTCCCGTTCTCTCCAAGCGGCATCAAAACTTCTTGCGCTCCTTCTTCTGGTACAACGTGGAGGTGGCAGTGTCAGGTAGGCCGCGCCACGAAGGAGGGCTTCTCGTGTACTCCCAGTACCTTCAGCACCTCTTCTCCTCGCGTACTCCTCTCTCGGACTCCGAACGCTTCGAGCAGCCTTACTGGGACTTCCTCCAGGTATGTTACCACTGACAAGAGGCAGAGAGGAGGAGGAGGAGGAGGAGAGCGATGTGATGAGTATTTGCGTGGGTCTACATGACATGAGAACTCGATGATTCAATACGCTTCTGATTGCTCCCGTGCTGTCAACGCGCTTCGGCTCACGTCGCCTCTGCTACACTGATGCTCCTGTTGTCAGATTCCTCTGCAGCCGCTGGCCGACAACCTCGAGTCGCAGACGTACGAAGTGTTCGAGAAGGACCCCGTCAAATACGTCAATTACGAGCAGGTCCAGTCTCGCTCCTCCTCCATCCACTAGACCCTTGTCTTGTATTCCTTGAAGCCCTTCAAGTTTCGCTGACTGACTACCAGGCTGTGTACCTGGCGCTGATTGATTTGCAAGCAAATTTTGGATTTCGACAGGATCCGTTCATCGTAATGGTGGTTGGGGCAGGACGGGGACCTCTCGTGCGAGCTTCTTTGAGGGCGTCGGAGCGAGCAAATATCGCCATCTTTGTCTATGCGCTGGACAAGAACCCCAACGCCGTCGTCACACTCAGGCAAGTGAAGGCAGAAGGGCGGAGGCGTTGGGTGCCGCATGTGCCCGAAGCAGCGAGACTATTAGAGTCGCCAACGTCACTTTGATGTGACGATGTGGTGCTGAAGTCTCGCGAGATATCGCGGATGTTTATTCACTTGGCTGCACCGAATGTGCTGCTGAGCCACCAAACTTCCAACATGTGACACTCTCTGGCTTGAACTCACACGCCAGCACAGGAACATGCGAGTAACGGAGAACTGGGCGGATCGAGTGGAAGTGGTGCAGTCGGACATGCGAGACTTCTCGCCTCCCGTCAAGGCTGATATCCTAGTCAGCGAGCTCCTGGGATCCTTTGGAGATAACGAGCTCTCTCCCGAGTGTCTGGATGGAGCTCAGCGTTTTCTCCGTCCGGACACAGGGATCAGCATCCCTGTCTCGTATACGTCTTGGATCGCTCCCATCAGCTCCAGCAAGCTGCACCAGGAGGTGAAGGCGTACAACGACGTGAAGCACTTCGAGACCACCTACGTCGTCAAGATGCACACGCATAAAGTCCTCAGCGACGCGCAGGAGTGTTGGACTTTCAGCCACCCCAACCGGGAAGTTCCAATCGACAACTCAAGGCAGAGCAGACACAGGTTCCAAGTCAAGCGGAGCTCCTGCTTGCATGGGTTTGCGGGCTACTTCGACGCGCTACTGTATGCTGATGTCCACATATCCATCTACCCCGAGACGTTCTCGACTGGCATGTTCAGTTGGTTTCCGCTCTTCTTCCCCATTCGAACGCCCATGTGAGCGATCGAGAGGCTGCGGGGGGGGACTGACGCGCGAGCAGGTTTGTGGGCAAAGGGGAGGAGATCGAGCTTCAACTGTCGAGGTGCGTGGGGGACAAGAAGGTCTGGTATGAGTGGGCGGTGGTGGCCCCGTCGGTGGGCCCTGTAAATAACGTCAACGGGAGATCCTTCAGCATCGGTCTGTAGGCTCTTTGTAACATGTCCAACAAGTTTGTACCCGGAGGAGGGGATGTAAGTAAAGAGAGATAGCGACCTCAGTCACTGTCTCGTCACGAACTTGACCGGCACGTCTTGAGACCTCCGGCCCGTCGAGTCCGTCGAGCTCTGCTGGTACGGCACTTGAACGAACTGCACGCGATGCAGCCCCTCCTCATGCGCCTCTCGCCGCCACGTCCGGGGGCCTTGCGAGTGAGAGGCCTCGTAGCTCTGGCGGAGTGCGGGGGGTTGAAACCAGTGCTCTGCCTCGCTCAGAGCCTCTAGCGTCTGAATCTTCCGCTTCGCCTCCTCCAGCTCCATGCGCAGCGCGTAGTTGGCAGCAGAGGCGTGGTTGGCTTTCAGAGTGACCAGGCGACTCTCAGACGTCGCCCCGTTGAGCTCCACCAGCAGCGCCTGCTCCACGTGAACATGACGAAGCAAGAGACACGAGCACAAGCACCTCTCGCTCAGCCCCGTACTGGTCTTGCAGCACCCTTAGCTCCATCACGTTGGTTCTCTCCTGCTCCAGTTTGCGCGTGAGCTCTTGGTTCTCCTGCTCTACTCGCTGCAGGTTCCGGAGGAGCGCACTCATGCTCGCCCCTCCCTGTGCCTGTGTCGACGTTCCTCCCTGCAGCGACTTCTGCAACTCACTCAGCTGGACGCCGACGTTATGCTCCAGCTCGGTCTCAAGAGTAGAGTTTCCTGCAGAGGGGAGTCACATCAAGCAGCAGGGCAGCGTGCCGTACGTTGGCGGAGGGAGTGCAGCTCCTCGATGCTTTCGGACAGCCGCATGTTCTCTTTGCGGATCTTGGCGAGCTCCTCGATGGCGATGTCAGCTCTTTGTCGCATGATGGTCACCTGGGGTTGGCAGGGAGAGATCAGAGGCAGCAATAGGAGCAGGAGGCTTCACTTCTTCCTCGTGCTGCGATTGAACTTCCTTCTGACGTTGCTGTTTGAGCTCATCAACTCCTTTGCCCATATGACATCATCGCACTCACTTGAAACTCTTCAACAATCTTTTCCAACTCGCGGAGTCTAATAAGCACGTTAACCTTACACAAGCACTGGCGATTTCCGTCACCTCCCCGTCTTCTCCAAGTCTTCCTTCGTCTGTGCCTCCGAGATCGCTGACTCAGCGCTGCCGGCCTCGCCCTGTCCCATACTGTAAGGCAGAGGAAGGAGAGGTGGCGGTTGACCTTGGCCTGCAGCTGAGACCGCAAGTCAGCGATCTCGGATTCGAGCTGTTTCAAACACGTCTCGAGCTCCGAGATGGTGATGTCTCTTGACATGACCTCGGAGTCTAGTTGGATGTTCTGCTCTTTCAGGCAGTGCAATGATTGCAACTCAGCGCTCAATCTCTCAATCTCTGTCTCCTGGCTGATTGTAAGCAATCGAACCTTTGCTTCAGTGTCCATCAGTCTATACATCTCAGACCTGCATCGGCATCTGAGCGTATGAGGCAAGACACAATCATCCTCATGATCTCGCAGTCTGACCTGATGTGCACCAAGTCACTCTCTAGTCTTGCTACTTGACCGCCACAATTTCCGAGCTCATTCTCAATAGAATTCTGACGCTTTTCTTCTTCTTTAACACGACTTGCCAAAGCTTCAAGTTCTCCTCTCAGAGATGCTTCGTTGGCATCTCTTTCTTTTATGATTTCTTTGAGCCTTTCGAGTTCCGCTGAACTAGGTGCCCCATCGATCTGGGCCTCTTTTCCCTGCGCATTAAAATGAAATCATCTAGAAAACGTATTCAACTCAATCTCACGTCGACATTTGGTTCATCAGTCATCGCGTTGGACTCTGGGCTGTATTCCTTCGTCAACTTCTTCCAAGGCCCAAAGATAAGATGACCTTGTTTTCTCAGCCTTCAACAGTTCTAACTCCTGTACAACAGATCCATGTGAAAAGAAATACAAACCGCACTCAGTAAAACACCTCAGTAGCTTCACTGAGAAGCTGTACAACATGTTCAGTTCTACTGTTCGCTTGTTCTAATTCCTTTTGAAGTTGGAGGATTGACTTCTCATGCCAGGAACTATCACCACCTATGTCTTGATGCGTTGAACCTGCATCTTTGAGTTGTAATGGTTCGGATGCTGAGACATTCACGTCAATATCCTTGAAAGTCATCAAGAACTCAAATAATTTGTTCTGCACGGCCTTCAGACATTCGATCTTGTATTCAATTTCACCTATCTAGGTGAAGGTCAAGCAAAACTGACAAGAGAAGCTGTTGGCAAGTACCAGGACGTGCTCCTTCTCCATGTATTCGCGATCAATGGAATCAATCTGTTTCCTGATGTCCCGAAGCAGAGAATTGCTCTCAATAGGAGCTTCCTCTCCCGTCAGACTCGCCGCATTTGCAAGTTGCTGTAACTTCTCGTGTACTTGAGATTTCGACTGAACAAAACTGACAGGAGCTCTGGTCAGGTTGACGTCAAACGGTCTTTTTCGGCTTCTTCTTTCAATCAACAGCCCGACTGTCGTTCCAGGAACATCGTTACCACGCAGCAATGCCTCTATGTTCTCTGCATTCGCTTCAACGTCGTTGACCTGGCAAGCGTGCCAAGACTCCGTCAGCGAGTCTGTACGCGCGATCAGGACCTTTACCCGGCGGATGATGTCACCCTTTCGAATCTTGTCGTTGAGGTATCCTGGAGATCCAGGAACGAAGTCCAAAATGGTGCACTGCATCCCAGCCTTTTCTCCGAGTATCAGCCCCAACGTCGTCTGCGACAAGGAATCACAAGCACGCCCGTTATGATTCCTCGGAACCATTCGATCTGATGTTGTTTCTCCTCCAAATGTGACACTCCGATTTTCCTTTCCAAAAGCGATGGCTTTATCCAGCTCGCGATTGATTCCCTCAAACACTCGGTAAGCCACATCCATGATCCTATTTCAATTAGCTGAATACATGTACGAAAAGAATCAAGGTCTACCTCATGTTTGAAGATTCCTTCAATGCTTTCAAAGATTCTAACATATCCATACTCTGAGAACTCAACTGATTGTGACTATTCTTTTCAATCTCGACTTTCTTTGCCAATCGTTTAGCTCGTGAGTCCTGGCCAAATTTTCGCGCAAGTAAAAGTGTTTCTTTGTCTTCCTGGTACGGAAAATCAACGTAGAACGCATTTCAGTCTGTCAAGCTACCATATCCGTACTAGCTGCATCATGATTCTTCGCGGAAGCATCGTCCACCTCTTTGGAAGGTTCAGCATCTTCCAGCTCGCTTTCATCCGCCAAGACGATATCATCTTCATAATCGTCTTCATCGTCATCTACCACCTCTGGAAGCTGTTGTTGTAATCGGGTCTGATATGAGCTTTTGAGAATTGCAACACAGTGTTGTCAGGACCAGGTTATGCAAGAACAAAACAGTAAGACGAATACCTGTTTGAATACATGAAAGTTTGCGCGGGAAAACTCAATGAAGGAGATCGGTTCGGTTGATGTACTGCATTCTGAGAGTGAAACTGCATATGGACGGGTGGGACTTCTTGGGCTTGCGGAGAGAAGTTTTGAGAGTAGGGATCTTGAGCGATACGGTAAACCGAGGGAGCCATGTGTTGAAAGCTTGAACGCAATCCAGGCGATGAGTGATGGTATACGCTTTGAGCGTGCGGAGACTTGGAAGGAGTATGACTCTGCAAAGGAGCAAAGGTGTTCGCATATCCGTTTGCTTGTTGGAACGCTAGAGATTGAATCGGCGGGCTCTGCGGCAGCCAAGGCGTCAGGAAGGCATCAAGCTCTCACTGCTGCTCTCGTCCAGCACGAGGGTCCTAGCCGCGTCCTCACCGGATGAGATTGGCTCGGACCCTGCCGGACGACGAGGCCTGGTGACGTTCCAGAAGAAGCCTGAGCGGCATGTCACCGTGTTGCTCCTCCCTTTATCTCGCTTACGACATAGTTGAGGTGCCTCACGTTGGGAGCGTATGCATTCTGATGGACTCCTGCTCGTACACGCATCAAGTCACAGCGGATCGAAGAGCCACGTGACATTTGCTCACCAGGCCTGCTACGCCCTTGATTGTCAATGCCGTTCCACATGTTGTGGCGACTGACAGACTTGCTTGTGATGAGATCGCTAAAGAAGTTTGGTTCAGCCATTGTCAAAACACTTATGCGCTCTTCCTGCCTGGGCATGCACTGATCCTATCTTTGACTCCTACTGATGGCCTCATCACATCCTGATTAAGTTCCCTTGAAAGCTTTGCCCCCCTGCATGCTTTGCTCCCGTTTATTGCACTCACTTCTCCTTGACATCTTGTTCGTTGATCACTCCATACTTCCCACTCGCTCCTCACGCTTCAGCCTCCTGAGACTCGCTCCTCATGCTTCAGCCTCCTGAGACTCGCTCCTCATGCTTCAGCCTCCTGAGACTCGCTCCTCTCCCTCTCCTCGCCCTCGCTCCTCTCCCTCTCCTCGCCCTCGCTCTTCTTCATATCCCAATTGCCCCTTCCACCCTGCATCGCAATCGCTTGCAACCCACCCCTACTGACCCCGGGTCTTCAGCCTTTCACCACCCACCCCTCCTTCACTGCTGCCCGCGGCTGCTTTTTCAAATCCCAGGTCCCAGACCATCACACGAAAACGCTAATATGACCAATCTTTAGGGGGTAGGGGTCATTACCCTACCCTTAAACAAAATCAGTCCGAACTTGTAGCACTCGGACTCGGCTCAGCCTGGAGCACGCCGGGTAGGGTAGGGTAGGGTAGGGTAGCCTGGTAGGGTTGGGTAGTAACTACCAGCATCGGGAATGGCCGGGGCCGCCGGGCACCGCGGGGTCACTGTGGCCCCGGGCCAGTGGGGGGCCCGGCCAGGGGCCCGGGGGACGGCAGGCCTCTCAGCCTCGCAAGACTTCTCAGGTGATCCCACTTGCAAAATCAGTTAAGTTTGGGGGGCAGCAGTTGGCAGGATTAGGTTTGGTTCTCGCTGTCTTTTCTCTTCTCGCCGTTTGGCCAGCCTGAGTGGATCGGACCGTGAGTGTCCGGCGGCCCGGGCTGGACGGTCCGACGGCCCGCCGGGTGGCCCGGTCAGGACCCCGGTTCAGTGCCAGTCACTGTGAACGGCCGCAGGCCCGGGCCCGGGGGCCCGGCCCGGGGGCTCAGTGGAGTCGCCGGAGACCGTCGACCGACCCGGAGGCAGGGAGCGAGGCGACGCCGTGCAGTCAACCAGCGGAGGTATAAGCCCAATGCCAAGACTCTCTACCTCGAGGCCATGCAGGCGGCTAGGATGCGGCCGAGGAACGCGGAGTACGGGCACATGAAGCCGCTGGGTGTCCTTCCCATCCAGCTCGCCCTGTTGCGCCTGGAGCTGCAGCAGCTGCTCCACCTCGAGTCCTTCCCGCTCAATGCCCTGCTGGAGAGCGTCGGAAGGCAGAGCTGGACGTGGGTGGTGCCTTTTGCCTCCTCGTTCGACTGGCTCAGCAGCAAGCTAGGCCTTCCCACCTCCTCCTCGGATGGTTTTCCGTCTTTCAAGGCCCCGCCAGCCTGGTCAGGGGAATCTGCTTCCAAGTTGAAGGGCAGAAGGCAAGAAGGGGAGGAGAAGAACGAGGAGGAAGAGGAGGAGGGGGATTTGACTTTTGTTCTCTTCGCTACCCTGGTCGGGTTTATTGTTGGGCTTGCGATCGCCGCCATCCTCCGCTAGTCAGCTCCTCTTTTCCTCTCCTTCCTTCGTTAACGCGTGCGGGTCCAACTTGGCAACGACCTGACGTTGAACATGTACAAGTAAACTGACAGACGTCTCGGCGTCTACTCCGTAGCTCGGGTCCCCGCGGGTCCGGGCCGCGCCGGTCATCGGTCTGCACTCAGTACAGTTTAGGCCCATGATTAGGCCATCTTTTTAGATATGAGTATAGGGCCAAGTCAGAGTCTCCGATTGGAGGACATGCAGGTCCAGGAAGCAGTTGAGGCCTCAAATCGGGGGCCGAAGAAAACGTCAGAGAACAGGTAACCGTAGGCCCGACAACCATTGGATGCAGCTCGTGGGCGTCAGCCATATATTTTACTTATGTTGTGTTCTTTGTACCATTTGGCACTACAAGTCGTTTTGTATTATATAAACAGAGCCATATATTTTACTTATGTTGTGTTCTTTCTACCATTACACGGTCTATAAGTTTTTGTATTATATAAACAGAGCCATATGTTTTACTTATGTTGTGTTCTTTGTACCATTTGGCACTACAAGTCGTTTTGTATTATATAAACAGAGCGATATATTTTACTTATGTTGTGTTCTTTGTACCATTTGGCACTACAAGTCGTTTTGTATTATATAAACAGAGCGATATGTTTTACTTATGTTGTGTTCTTTCTACCATTACACGGTCTATAAGTTTTTGTATTGTATAAACAGAGCGATATATTTTACTTATGTTGTGTTCTTTCTACCATTTGGCACTACAAGTCGTTTTGTATTATATAAACAGAGCGATATATTTTACTTATGTTGTGTTCTTTGTACCATTTGGCACTACAAGTCGTTTTGTATTGTATAAACAGATCCATATATTTTACTTATGCTGTGCTCTTTGCACAGTCAAAAACCTTGTTTTAAACAGACCCATACTGGTTAAGTGACACACTATGACCAATGGTGACCCAAAAATTAGAATCTCAAAAAAACGTCGAAATCGCGGTGTGGTGCAAACCCCGAACGGTAAAACAACAAAGGAGCAACGAGAATATAGAATGTTGTGATTAAAAAAAAGAACATCCCTGCAAATCCACCTGTACAAATCAATTCTTCCGAAGTCTAAACACCCGTCTGTTTATCTATCAAAGTAGAAGTAGGGGTGGGTACCAGGTTTGTGGCTCAACAAACTTCGAATATTTCCCGCCTTCCGAAGTTCCCGCCTTCCCGTTTGTTTATCTGTCGAACTTGAGTAGGGGTGGGTACCAGGTTTGTGGCCTTCCCGCCTTCCCGCCTTCATCCGAAGTCTAACTACCCGTTTGTTTATCTGTCGAACTTGAGTAGGGGTGGGTACCAGGTTTGTGGCCTTCCCGCCTTCCCGCCTTCATCCGAAGTCTAACTACCCGTTTGTTATCTGTCGAACTTTAGTAGGGGTGGGTACCAGGTTTGTGGCTCTGTAAAGATTTCCCCGCCCTCCCGCCTTCTCTCCCTCCCTCCCATCCTCCCTCCCGCCTTCCATCACTCCCTTCTTCCCGCCCTCCCTCCCTCCCTCCCTCATTCCCGCCTTCCGAAGCTCCCGCGTTCACCCTGATCAAATATGGGGAAAAGGAAAAGAGGAAAACAAAGAAAGTCTTGTTCTGATTCACAGACGACTGTCAAGATGTGTTTGAAAAAACATCTCAAACAACACACAATGATCGATGTGATTGATGATTGGGTGAAACACATAAGCAAAATAAGCCATCGAGGTAGCATCATATTCAATCATCTATTGTTATGGTGTTTTGAGAAGGATTCAATGCAAGGTGATGATACGTACATTACAAGGCTGTTTGATCAGATATACAATCGTACTAGAAAAGTAACAGACAAAGAAAAAGAAGAAGGGATGCAAGAAGAAACGGTCAAGACCAATGGTGGAGAGAAAGTTTTCTTTCGGACCTGTTTTCTGATGGGTGAAAAACGCAGAGGTAATGCAATTCAGTTTGATATTTTAGACGAGTTTTGGCAAGAAAAAGGGAACAAGTATCTACCAATACAACGCAGGAAAGAAGGGGATATTCGAGTACTGTACTATTCTGCTGATCAATATGCAACAAATTTCCAAAATTACATATTCTATACGATGGGACAAAAACAGACTAGATACATAAAGGAATGGGGAAAGCTCAATGGGATTTCTTCAGAAAAGGAGATACAGGATATACGGAATGCAGTAAACGGATGGAGCTTTCCACCAAAAACTCGTGTTCTCGAAAGACAGGATGTCATTGATTTCATAAGGGAACAAAAAGAGATCATTGGATGGGACAATCATTATAACTTGTCATGGGCCCGTGACAAAATCAAGAAAAACCCTGAACAGCAAAAATGGATGCAATTACACATACCAAATCTTGTCAAGTACCATTTTTCGGTTCTGAGGTTTTTGGAGATTCATGATATATCTGATCGATACACGATCGCTCCGATTTTTCAGATACGCAAACAATTTATTCGCGTAGACATTTGGGGTTTATTCTACATTATGGATCAATCTGGTCTGTTGCAATATTCAAAGGGTGGGAAAAGCAAATGCATGAAAAAGTTCACACAACAAAAACATAAGCGATTCTTGTCGGTGTTGAAGCTACAATCAAATTTGAGAAAGAAAGGGACAGTTGATAGCATACAGACTGACGGAGTCGCACTCTGTGTGACGTTCAAGAAGAGAATACACAATGAGACAGACAATACTACTACAAAGAAAAGCAAAACAAGAGATTGTGATGTGTCCTCAAGACGAGTTATTGCAATCGATCCTGGTCGCAATGTACTGATATGCGGTGTCGAGCAAATACCTGGTCAAGAAAAACCAAAGCAGTATCGATATACTCGAAGGCAGTACTATCATGAGTCTCATATTACTCGGAATAACGCCAAGTTAGAAAAATGGAGACAAGGCATAACAGAGGAATCAAACGATATTGCAAGAGTGTCAGCAAAAACGTCTCGGTTGGATCACTTTGAAAGATACATCGACACCGTGGTGAGACTAAGCGAGATCCTGTTCGAACACAATTGTCAAAACAAGTTCGCACGCCTGAAGATGGATAACTACATCCACAAACACAAGGCGATTGATACGTTCTTCAAGAAGATGAAAGGTAATGGGACAGATCAAAATCCAATAATTGCATACGGTGATGCATCATTCGGTTGTACTGGGCGTGGAGAGAAGTCAGTGCCTGTAAAATGGATCAAAAGGCGATGTCAGAACTTCTTCGAGGTGACGGCAGTTGATGAATACAGAACGACAAAATGTTGCAATCAATGTCATCAAGAATTGTATGATTTGAGACGCAAACAAATCAACAAGAATGGTATACTTGCTGACGAAGTGTCAGTGGTGCGGGGTTTGAAATGGTGCAGATCCACCAATTGTGTTCAAAACCGTATCAAGTCTCGTGATGTCAATGCTGCTATGAATATTCTATTGTGCTACATGTCTCTACCAGCACGACCAGATTTTCTGAAACGGCCTTGAATCACACATGGGTCTGGTTATACTTCAACCTGTTCTTCATAGAAAGGATGAAGTACGAGTCAGACACAAGGAAATATTGGCGTGTGGGTCTTCAATGATCCATAATTTCGACGGAAAATTTAGAATTTTGAAATTTTATGTTTTGTGTCGTTTAGCTAATAAGCCCAATGCACCCTCAGTCGTTGAAGCAAAACCCGCGATGAAAGATACTGGTCTCTTCTCCTCTCCTCCTCCCTCGTCCCGTCTCGTTTGTCATCTCAGTCTTCTTCACGTCAGCAGGTTTGATCGCTAATGTTGTGGGTTGGCATGTTGAAGCTCAATCCATCAAACATTCTTGAGCGATCGATGGAGGCGGCTACACAAGAGCTTCCATCGCCATCGCCATCGCCATCGCCATCGCCATCGCCATCGCCATCGCCATCGCCATCGCCATCGCCATCAAGTCTTCATGGCTTGCCTGATTTTATTAGTGTAACAGAAGTGTTCATTCTTGCTTCAGTGTTCACCTTCGCCTTCGCTCTTTCCCAACGATGCGTTCATTTCAAGGAAGCAAACATTTCAAGCAGGACTCAAGCTCTGATCTATGCTGCATTGGCTGCTGCCAACATGTTGCCTTTGAATGTGCTAGTGCACCAGCTTGCCAGTTTACAGCCCTCGATGAGTTTCACTGAGAGTCTCTTTCTGCGCAGCCTCTCGTGCTGTCTGCTCGGGGCGCTCGCTTGTCTCTTCTCTCAGTCCAACCCCTTTGCCCATGAGGCCAGCATGCTCGCTCGTCTCTTCGCTCTGGGCTTCCTCGGGTCTCTCGGCGGCTTTCTCCTCTTCATCGGGTTGTCTTGCCTGCCAGCGTCGGAAGCGATGGCCTTGTATGCCACGTCACCTTTTTGGGCGATGCTCATCGACTGGCTGAACTTGAGGGACCGGGTGAAGAAAGTCTCTCTTGCTGCTCTTGTCTGCTGCTTCCTCGGAATCTGCTTCCTCGCGCAGCAGCCCTCTCCGACGAGTGATGCAGCTGGAGAGGAGCTGGTGGTGAGCAGAGGTGAAGCTGCTCTCCTCACTCTCGCATCCGCTTTACTCGTTGGCTTCATCGCTCCGACGATCCGCAGGTGACATCAGTGACAAGTGGTTGTGCTCGTTGACTCGGATGCAGCATCGCAGCAGACATTTCAGCGCCGTCCCTCGTATTCTGGTTGGGCCTGCCTGGCATCCTCTTCCTCCTCCTCCTCCAACTCGTTCTCAATGAGAAGGTTGAGCTGCTGCTCTCCTTCACAACACAAGTTCTTCTCGGGCCTCGGGTCAGCTGGCAACTGGTAAGCTCGTCGTCCTCTACCCATCCTTTCACGTGTTGTCTGCCCTCTACTTTCTTCTCTGGTTGTCTTGTATGTTTAACCCGAACCCTCATCGTCTCCTTCTCTTCCTTTTATTGCGTAGATATTCATGTCTCACTTCGACGGATGTCAGGAGGCTTGTCTGGTCATCGTTGTTGTAAGTTCCTTCAGCAGCCAACTTACTTTGAGGTGCTTCTGGCTCCCAGCTTTCCCCACACTTGAAGCATGTGTGTGGGTTTGTGATTGATAACTATCATCACTTCTCTCATCTCCTCGTTCTCTTTCCCTTGCTTCTTTTCATCAACACACTCACTCTGGCAGTAGAAGTTCTTGGCAGCGCGAAAACTCAGCAGTGGTCATTATGCTTCACATGTCTCTTCTAGTTTCCTTCCAGTAAGTCTTGTCCCCCTCTGCTCCACTCTTAATTCCTTCTCCAACCAACCTATCCCTTCCTAGAGTTACTCCCCTTTCTTCTCTCAGTTCGCTCCTCCCTCTCTTGCTCTCTGCATCTACTCCTTCTCCTCACTCTTGGGGCGCTAGATGGATATACGAGGAGCTCAACTACAAGGCCCAGGCAGGGCCCGAGCAGAAGCTAGGCCTCATGGTCTGCTCCGCTTGCTCATCCTCTTGCTGCTTCATCTCCTTGCTTGCTCTGCTCTCCTTTCCTGGCTGCTCATGCAACTTTCAGCTGATTCTCCTCGCCAACGCGACGCTGGTAGCTGAGAGACTTTCTTCTCCGCTAGAGTCGCTTCCGCCCTCGGGTACGGAAGGACCGGGAGGGACTAGGAGGAGGAGGGTGACTGAACTGCTCTCTAGATCCCTCTCAACGTCCGTTGCTCGAGGACGCGTGCGAAGGAGAGTATGAGGATGTGGAGAGCTTGTAGGGGAGGCGACGGCGAGTCAGCAGAACATCCTGTTGGCAATACAGAAATGAGCCGGGTACCCGTAGAAACAAGGGTCCATCCTCCTCAAGCTCGGCACCACCTACACCCACGTCACTTATTGCCCTCCCCTCCCCTCGTAGCCCCACCATCCGAGCCCCCGCGGCCTTGAGCTCCTGCGCAGTCGCCCACCCTCCCTCCGGAAGTTTTTTGCGAGGAGAACTGATAGCTGTGCACAAGGTGATTCGACGCGATGAAGACAGTGAGAAGCGAGACGAGGCAGGAAGGAGAAAAGGGTGACGTGGGAGACGAGGGATGAGACGAGGAGGAGACGAGGAGGAGACGAGAAGGGAGGGGACAAGAAGGTAGAAGGTATCATGGATCTGCTTGTTCACCGATGGTCGGAAGGTTCGCCTGCAGACTTGCTTGCAGCCCGACGAGAGTTCCGACGAGAGACAAGCAGTCGGAGACCGGGAGGTTGAGCTTCCTGAGGAAAGAAGAGGTTAGGAGTGGAAGAGAAGAGAAGAAACGTTGAAAGCGGGAGTGAGGAGGAGAGCGAAAGGGTGTAATGGAACTAATGATGACGAGACTGGGACGGGAGAGTGACTTGAAGGAACAGCAAGCGTAGAAAGGCTCCAACAGGAAAGAGGAAGCAGACGAGGAGGTGCGATAGCGTGACAGGCGGCATAGGAGCAAGACAGACGAACCATGTGCAGCAACTCAGTCTCACCTCGCCGCTGCCAGGTAGGCGTCAGGAAAAGGTCGCGAGCGAGGAACTTCATCGGCGCAAATGACGTGGGATACCAGAGAGAAAAAGCCGGCGTGACGCTTGCACGCGTGATCGAGCAAAGCTGAAGAAACCGCAACCATCAAAGAGAACAATACATATCCTTCTCCCTTCCCCCCCCCCCCCCCCCCCCCCCTCTGCGTCTGCTCGCTCTTTTTCCCTGCCCATACAGTTTCTCACCTCTCGGCGCAGAAGACACGAGGGCTATTGGAATCCCTCGACTTTTAAAATGCCGGATCAACGTCTAGCTCTGACATCAGCGAGAAGAACTTACGAGAGAGGACGGGAGTCGAGACAAAAGGGGCGAGTGAGAGGCAGGGAAGGAGCGGGAGGAAAGCAGGGCAGAGAGCATTGACTTGCAGGAAACCTCTGCGAATGGAATCGCCTGCAACTGTTGCATGTTGATTTCCAAGAGGTCGAAGAAGCAATCTACAGGCAACATGTCAGTATGTCAGTACGTCGCCTCTCCTTTACCTCGTTCAAAACCCCCAGCTCTCCCCTTGCACAGCATGGCGAGGCACTGAGAGAAGTCCCGTCCGCTCATTCTCAGGTAGTCATCGTCTGCGGCACCTTTGACCTGCGTCATGCTCCACCTCCTCACCTTCCATGTCGATATTCAGCTCTTGGCACAAGACCTTGATGGCGCTGAAGAGCATCTGCTCGCGTTTCAGCTTCTCCTACTCACTCGCAAGCTCTTGCCGGCTCAGTGTCGAACAGGACAGCCTCCACGTCGATGATCACACCTTGCCAGCTCTCAGAAGCTCCTCAGCAAGCTCCTCCCGTCACCTCTCAGCTTCTCAGCCTTGTAATGACCAAACTCGTCGATCAGAGCTGAGAGCGCATGTTTAGGCAGCGATGCCGCCTTCCGGCCTTTTGCCCTACATGATCCGACGTGAGAACATCTCGACTCCTCGCTCTCGCTCTCACTCTGCTTTCTCCGTCTCAAACTGAGCCATCACCTTCCGCTTGATGGGAGCGAGCTTCGACGCATAGGGGTCGGAAGTGACGGTGAGGTTAAACTCTTCACCGTAGGAGCTGACATTGCTGTCGAACTCTTTCACGGAGGCTTCAGACTCTTCCGAGTTTCCCTCCCCGACGTCGCTGCTGTCATGCGAGCGCTTCCCAACTCGCCTGCTCGTAGCCTGCTGGCTCCTTGCGGCACTTTCAAAGAATTCTTCACTCGAGTCCCCCGCGGGTAACGACGCATCCTCGCCTACTCCTCCACGCAGAGATGCTCCGATGCAGCGCACACGCAGCCTCTCCTCCCTTGACATCATGCCCCCGCGATGCAAACGGCATGGGAGGAGGAGCTGGTCGACCTGACGGCATGGGAGGAGGAGCTGTTTCGTCTCTCTCTTGCTAGTCTCGCTAGTCTCGCTCAGGCTCGCAGCGACGAGCAGCAGCGCTACACGCTTGCTCATGCCCATCGGAACCGATTGCAAAAGATTCTTGTGATGGGCATTGGGGGTTAAGATGATAAAAGTCTCGTATATGCTTATAAGTGAATAGACCATAGTACACACCCCCTCACTTTGAGATAGCCCTCTAGACCAGCAACTCAGGTTTGTGGGGGCTGCTTAGGATTGGGGCGCAACGCGGGGATGGCGAGCGTCGTGATGATGGTGTGAAGGAGGAGGAGGAGGAGGAGGAGGA